TTTTCACACTCAGCAGCCATCTTGCAGTGCGATAAAAAGTTCATGCACGGCTATAATGCACGGCCGTGCATTGTTGTTATGTAAAAGTAAGTCACGTGGTACAAATCGACCAATCAGAACACTAGTTTACGAAAACTGCATAATAAATTGTAAGAAACAATATAGATATGTAATGTGAACGTTAATACTTATAGGAAACTATTATGAAATATATACATCGCCTTCGTCTATGCCTCGTGTCTCCGTGTCTCTTCCCCGAATCCCGCTACCCAGTTCACTACCGTCTATACGCACTTCCGCTACTAGAACACAACAATGAATTCGTTAGTTGGCAGGAAAAGTTAATATCAAACACGTTATCTTGAACGTCATCATAACTTAAAAAACGCATTAATAATCAATAATCAATGTTTATAAATCGGATACAGATTTGTCGTGATTTACATAAACTTCAGCTTTGAATTCTCGGCTCAGTAAATTAAACAATATTTATTTTTAAAATTACTTCGCCAATGAACTCATAAGATAAGTCATATACAGATAAAGATCGGCTGCTAAATTTTTAACAAGACTAGAACTAAAAATTTAACTTAAATTTAAATTTAAATTATAGTTAACAGTTTCCTCTTCAATTCATCCCTAAAGGGTAAAAGGTGCTTTTGCTACTTTATTAAAGTGCATATGACACGAAATTTCTTATTTTCTTAAATGAAATAACTCTTTAAGCTGTAGTGTAACTTAATTTTCAGTTTCTTGTTTTTATGGTTTGTTCCCGAGATATTTCAATTTGTTTGATATGTAAATGTGTGTGAATATGTCCGCTAATTTATGGCGTCATATTGGTTGCAAGCTCTTTAATTAAAATTGTTGAATATCACTGCTATCATCCAAGACGATAATTTCAAACTTCGCTCACTGGTAAATGTGATGAAACACTGTTGAAAAACGTGAATAAATATCTACAGTTTTTAGAGTTAATTGATTTATAACCAGTGTAAGTTGAGCTTGCAACCAACGTGACGTCATAAATTAGGGGACATATTCCCACTCATTTACATATCAAACAAATTGAAATATCTCGGGACAAACCATGAAAAGAAAAAACTGAAAAATAAGTTACACTACACCGTCCTTAAAGAGTTCTTTCGTTTAAGAAAATAAGAAATTTCATGTCATATCCACTTTAAGCTATTGTTTACTATTTGCAATGCAAGAATAGACTATAGATATATGTAACCATGTAAGACTACTTTGTTTTTGTTCCTTACATTTCCAGTTGCAGAACCTATTTTTTTCGGTTGTGATGGTGTTCAGGACAGTCCTAAGAAAACAGACTTTTGTGGTGTTTGTGATGGTGATAATTCAACATGTACAGATTGTCAAGGATATGTGAGGCCTGGTTTGGTAAATAATAAAACCTGTGGTACGTATAGCTAGAGCCTTGTTGATGTATTAGTGTACACAATAACATTCCAAGCGATTATTGCTTGGTACCTGTGGTTGCATATGCAGTATAATTGGGTTGAAACATGGGTCAGAAATCGCTTAAAAAGCAAATAACTATAGTTTAAATTAAGCAATAATAGAAACTTCGCACCTTTCTTATTCGCGAATTTCTAGCTCGCCCCTTTTCCATCGTGGATTTTATTCATCTATATCTCTAATTTATTAAATTAGCGTCAATGAAGAGTATGGAGGTACATAAAATATATAGTGTATACGATCGACACAATGTAATTCAGAGAATTGATCCTAAATGAGATGTTTTCTGTTATTAAAGAATTATAAATTTTTAGAAATGTTTAATCCGTAGATTTTCATGCATTTTCAAACACATAGGTTTCTATCATCCGTGGAGTGAGTGGAATGCTTGCTTTAAAAGAAGTGATGATGAAATAACAACAAGAAATAGAACCTGCTCTGAAAAAGGCGAATGCAGTCATTTAGGAGAAAGTGTTCAATATAAGAAGTGCATGTGCACTAACTGTGACGATGATGGCGATGACGATGATGATGATGATGATCATCATCATGATGATGATCATGAAGATGATAATGATGGTAGGTCCTACGTATATAAGTATAAAATAAACGAAAACTACGTACAAAAGTTATCGTAATGTACACAAGATGGTTTATAGGCGCTATACATAAAATTTTGAACCCCTGGAGAACAAATGGGGTTTTCAAAACAGTGAAAAGACAATGGTACATTCACATCATTGATTCGTAACTGAGTGACACAGTACAATTGTTATGAAAGCGTTTTGCAAATGCCTTTTTGACGACCTTACTAAAGAATACTTTGAATCTTTAAATACGTCCTTAAACCGAAACTTTGAAGTCAAGCTTTGAGTCGAATTATAACCTTGTATAAATCTTGAGGCTCATCAGATACTAATATTATTGTTCTTAGATACCTTTGCTATTCCCTCGAACAAAAAACAATGACGTCTGTTTCTTAATTCAATGGCGTTTAATGGGGAAAACTAATGAACACTTGAATACCTTCTCCATAGAGCCAAGCAATTTTACGCAACAGCATGCATGCAATGGAAACAAAATTTTCTTTCACAACCCAATTTACGTATCAGAACCTATGTAATTTTTTGTCAACTAAATTTATCAACCAATCTAAGTCATGTGATGCTTTGTAACATAGACGGATTTTCATATTTATTACTGGGGTGGTGCCAGAAATTTTAGGTGGCTGAGCCATAAGCAGGTGACTGAAGCAACACAAAGTGTCACCAAACCACAGCAAGGTCTATATTCTAGGGGTGGAGCACTATAGCCGCGAGGGGGAGTCTAGAGAGAAGAAAACAAAGTATCCCAGGAAAAAATTGAAAAAAATCATGATTTCTAGCTTCAAAAAAAAGTTTTTGAAGTTGTCAATTTGTCATATCAATGGATTTGGCATGTCCAATTGTCTGTTAAGATTTGAGAGAGTTAAAGAGTTAAAGTTAAATGAACCTATAAAAGTGTAAACCCAATAGGCCAATACACAATATGCTTCTACTTTTATATAGTCATTGATATTGTGTTGTTTGAATCCGAGTACAATTTATGATGCAACTCCGATGTAAATAATATTTGGGGCATAAAGATTAAATCTAGGCACGTCTATTTCCTAAAAGAATTAAAAATTAAAAATAGCTAGTGTTCGTAAAAATTCCAAACGTACCTTGCGTGCAAGCTATTCGCATGACAAGGCACTGCAAACTCTATTCAGGGAAGATAATAGAGTTTCAAAACTTTACAATTGCTCCAATAAATCAGTAATGCAAGCGAGGAGCGACTGGTTTCAGAGTGTTGCACTGTCTTTTTCTGTTCGAGTGTACTCCTACGTTTATTTTGTATCATCAACACTCTGCACGTTGGAGTGGACTATTTAATTATTTATTTATTATGCCGAGTATTGGGGAGGGGGGTTGGAAATTTTTCTGGAGGGGTGGACATTTTGTTTGTGGGGGGGAGGGGAGGGGGTTATAGCTAATATTGGGGGGGGAGTAGCACCCCCCTGCACCCCCAGAAAATCCGTCTATGCTTTATAATTTATACATCATTATTTAACTAACACTATCACGTACTATTGACCCGGACTTGCCTTAAAATCGCTGTTCACGAATAAAATCTATGGTGCTGCATGGATATAATTATTTTCACATTTATCGTTTCTTCTCCCATTCTTACAAGTAAAATTACGTGAATAATAGGCTAATGCAATTGTCATCCAACCACCAACCACCTACTGTTCCACGCCCAGTAGGTGGATATGTTTAGTTTAATTTATCTAACTTTGCCTTGGTAACAAAATTAAAAAAACCCGTCAAACTATACGTATACACATGTATAAATCAAGGTAGGATTTCCGCAACTGCTACGGCCAGTTACCGCGAATATATTCGATAAATTTTAAGTAATTAAATCAATCAATCAATTAACGGAACTGTTCAATTGACGCGTTCAATCAATCAATCAATCAATCAATCAATCAATCAATCAACCAACCAACCAAGAGATCAATCAGTCAGACAGTTACGTCATACAGAATAATAAGAATATAAAAAAAACAACAAAAAAACCCAACACAAAACACGTTGACTGAGATTTACACACAATCCAGTTTGAAAATAACATGAAAGATGCCTGTCAACGCCGCAACTTGCACGAGGTTCAGAAACAACAAGGAGAGGGAACCAACTTAATAGACTACAAACACAATTACATTTGACACAGGTTGTCTTCCATGTACATGGGTCGTCTTGGGTTGAGACAGGTTAAGCGTTTATACAAGCAGCCCGGTGTGAGGGTATATACATTACAGGTGGTGGAATTGTGGTACTAAGGGAGGTGAAGAATCCCTAGCCCCTCCACAAACTTTTGAAAATCAGAATAAAGGAAGAGGAGTTAATCATCTCCAAACACAAGCTTTGTTATATCCCACCGGGCACACGACGTTGTTTCAACGTTGGAATTTGGTAGAAAAAAGGTTGCGACGTCGACAACCTAATATCTACGTTGCTCTGACGTTGTTTTACAAACATTGGTTCAACAGCAGCCAACAGACGTTGAATTAACGTTCATTCATGGTTAAATGTACGACGTCGATTTGTGAACCAATCTCAACATTGTTTTAACGTGGATTCAACGTTGAATTATGGTTGACGAGATTGGCAACCTAATTTCAACGTTGTTTCAAAGTCGAAACAGTAACGTCGATCCAATTTGCATAGTCAACCCTTTTTCAACGTCTATCCAACGTCTGGAAGGTCATTTCCAACGTTGATTCAACGTTGGATAAACGTCATTTTGCCCGCTGGGATATTACTTACCCCTAATTCCCCTGTACGTGGCTTGAAACAGCTGTTGTGGGTGATTAAGATATTGAACCGTCGAGGTTTCGGCATGCCGAATCTTCCTCAAAACGTTGAAAAGGCCATTTCGGAGGCTATATTACAAAATTATCCGACCTAAAGTCTGTTTAGCACCTTCCCAACCAAACAAATCTTCCGCTGTCTACTGTATATGTTATTCTATGCATTGATGCCCCTTGGACACACTGGAATGCCACTTGACCTATTGTCTCTGTTTATTTAATATCAACCATGATGTCCTATCTGTTCTACTTTCGTAATGTAAACATTATTTACTTTCTTATACAGATGACAGAAAAACTGTGACGTTTTATCTTTCTTATGTTGGATTACCTCTCCTTGCCATGCTCTTTGTTATGGTAACTCTGGTGTCGTGTTGCTACTGCATCTGCAAGAAGAAAAAATCGAGTAATACTGTCAAACCTCTAGCTACTACTTATGTTAACAGCGCATTTGAAACGCCCTTAGATAGCAAACCTCGAGCTACACGCAACTTTGTGATGGATACATGTCATAAATAGTCAAATATTTAAATATTTAAAGTTTCAGCTTTCGCACATAGACATAGTGATAATTGTGGGCTCTCTTGGAAATTATATGATTATGATAATTTTATTAATAAGACTTTGAAGTTTTATACAGGAACGTATCATGATTCAGCACTAATTGTTCCCAAGGGTGCATAAACACAATAGAAAAAAAATTATGATGTACTGTACAGTATAACTTGGACAATTAGAACGTATTTTCAAATCCCAGGAGCACAATAATAAGTTGCACTGGCGGTGAAATGCTAGTTAGCAGTGGTTGTTATGCGAATTGTAGGGTTGCAGTTTTTTATACGCCCTGTAGTAGAGCACATGTGCTCCACCAAACAGGAACAATTGAGATAGATAATTATACACTTGCCAATAATTCTAAGAAAAAGGCAAATTAAAATAGTTCAAAATTTATTATTAATTTATTTGCAATCTCCAAAAGCTATATATAGATGCTGCTTGGTATTGCATTTTGCCACTAAGAAAGAAGTGTGTTATTGTGAAGTAAATATGCATTAAAGGGCAATGGCAACAAAAATTTGTATTGTCTATATTAAAAGTGCTGCTTCTTCAAACTATTAATACGATATTAATACCGTGCCAAACATTTTTGTTCAGGAGGTATATGCATGTTATTCCATTGTTAATTTATATATTGTCCGCCATCTTGGCTTGCATTCCCGAAAAATTCTCTTTTGGGTCACATGACCCGTATGACGTAAATGGCAGGGTAGAATCAAAACAACAAGATATTTTTGTATAGCGTGTATCGAGATTTAAGACGTTTTCTAAACGTTTCACTGCACTGTATTCGTTTTAAAAACTGTGGGGTCCGCATGTTCTTGTTCATACGCGTCTTCGGCAAAATGAAGTGAGCATATTCTAGTGCATGACGATGGTTTAAGTGCTTTGCAAACGCTTACAGAATTCATCCACGCTTTTCTCCTATATTGCTGATCTACCAATTTGCCTTTGGAAAACTGAAGAAACGGATTTCACTTGTGTATTGGCTGTCACAATTACAACCATAGACGGGGCAATACATGCACCTTTCCGTTTACATGAAAATCTTGGTCTTTTCCTCATTGAAGCCGTACTTACAGCTGACCACTAGTGAGCAGAATTTGCAGTTTCGGTTCAGTATATATAGTATTGTCCTACATGTGGATCGTTTAGGGTATTTTACATAACACAATGGAAATGTTGATAAAATGGGGAAACTGCATGCATGACAGTATTTTACCGAGTATTTTACCTATACAGTATATAAAACAATGCTGCTGTTGATAACCAAGTAAACCTACATATAAAAATACATCACGTCATATAACCAGACTATAGTTATTTTACACTTATCTATTCTCTGGGACTGAATCCCACACTGACCTCGAATGTCAATTTACTAATTTGCGCAATGTCTAAGAAGAGGCAAATCTTGTTTGTGAGATAACAGCTATTTCACGAGCAATGTCGTGTGTGCCTATAGTTCTCTTTATTTCCCTTGACGTCACCGAATGAAATGCGCGCTAGAGGACAAGCACGGCAAAATGTTTTCCAATATGGCGATATACAGCCGAATATTTGGAGGTCAACGTAAGTATTTATGGATATTATGGTTATACAGTATAGATAAAACATAAGTCAAAGAAATTATAATCACTTCTTTCAAGAATGACAAAATTTTACGAAAATTTTAACACCCATGAGTTGTAGTATAGGAACTGCCGGTTCGAGACCACTAGTTTCGGAGTGAGACCACTAATTTTTACCTTCGGCAAAAATTAATAGTTTATTTTTATTATATTAAAATTAATCATTTATTTTTATTATATTAAAATTAATGGTCCCGCTCCTCAGTGAGTGTTCCCGGTCCATTTATTTGGAATGTGAAACTGCTATTCTGAGGTCTTTTTCATTTAACTTATCTCAGAGCTTCGGGATCACCTTATTAGTCCAGCTGAGACTTTAGTATGATTCTAAGCTTTTCCGATATCGTCCAGTTTTCCCATTCCAAGGCCTCTTCGACAACTTTTGAAATACCCTTGAGGTAACACACACCCCTCTCCACAGAACCGTCAGATATTAGTTCTGAGCACTGATTAATACTTCCTACAACCTCCACAGTACCCATTTTAGTTGTCACACTCAGATTCCAACTATTCACCGTTCTCTTCTATCAAAATATCAGGGATTCCCGAACCCTTAAACCTCTAGATTCCCAATATCGTCCAATTTTCCTATTCCAAAGCCTCTTCGACAACTTTTATTTTCTCCTTGGGGGTACATAAGGCAGGGGGCCCTTCCTGCTTATTTACCTTTTAGGATTATTACTTTCTACTCTGTGGGAACTTCTCAGTCACTATATTTTATATTCTTGTTACCGTAAGCATAACTGGTAACTCCATCCTCCAAAAGATACCTTTTATCATCGAAGCAACTCAGAGTAACCTTCCTCATTTCATAAGTTCCAATTGTATGCTTTGTGCTCCTGATTGTGTTCATGTTGTGTCTCATCCTACCCTTTGTGTTGATTACATTCTTGAAGTTCTCATGAGTGAGTTTGTTTCTGATGACATACTTTTTAACCCCTTTGGCTGTCATTCCACCCCCACCGTTTTCCTTGACATAGGAGTACATTTTTGACCTCAACCCAACAAACTCAATTATGGGTACTCCTCCAGCTTCATCCTTAAACTTACCTATAACCTTCTTGTTGTGGGTTGAGTAGTAAGGGCTATCTTTTGGGTAATCTGAATTATCCCAGCAGTCTTGCTCTTCACCAATCCTCTTGAAGTCCTCATAGACATCATCCGTTTTCAGTTCGTACATCAGACTGTCAGTATCGGTGAACAGTAACCTCGAACTATTACCGTGTTCCTTCGTGATGGTGTTGTAGTGGAAATCGTACATTAAAGTCTTGGATAAGTCTAAGATGCTCATTCCTACGTAACACGGCTTATTCAGCGTTAGCACTTCTTTCATCCTTTTTACCACTATAAGATTCTGATTCATGATTCGATGTGACTGGAAGCACGGTGATGCTGTCAGTTTTAGGAGGTCGTCTTTGGAGGACACTAATTTCACATCAACCCTTTTCCTAAGATTCTCCATAGTCTTTCCGTAGATTGAGTTGTTCATCAACTTGAAGAAGTTCTTTTCGAATGTATTACGGGCTGCAGACCTTTTCTTCGTATTGAAGTCTATATAGTTCTTAAGCCAGGGAGACTGCTTGAATGTAACCGCTCTATGAACCTTCGTGAGTTTCATCCCAAGGTCTGTGTACAGTTTCAGATTACGTACATGTAAGACGTACTTCTTCCTGGGGCCTAGTGAAGTCACTAGTTTTCTTACTCCTCCAATTGTCAGTTGGAATTTCTCAGCAATACTCTTCGCATAATCTGACAACATAGAAGCACTGATTTCCTTACTCTCCGGTGCTAGAGGATAACCGTTGTGTAGGTCGTGAAGTTCTTGTGGATATTCCAGGTCAACCTCCAAAACCATTCCCCTTCCGTTGTCTCCCAAGTAATCGTCTATATTCATACCGTCAACTTCCTCAACCCACTCGAACTCTCCATTAGGTAGTGGTTGTGACATCGCCCAGCCATATAAATTATTAGCGTCGAGGTACATTAGGTACTTGTTCGCAGACGACTCATCGTACGTCTCCATGTACTTATTATTAGCTGCTGAGTGTCTATGAGCAATATAACTTGTACCACCTCTCATACCCTTCTCGAAGAACTGAAACATATCCATATCGCTTACGAGTTCTATTTCTTCACCTGACTTTTTCAGGAAAGCGTCCCAACTCAAACTAGGTGCTGACACGTAATGTGCGGGGTCAAGTTCATAACTTTCCAGACATGTTCTCTTGAAGTTCTCAAACACATCAGCCAGTAGAAGAACGTCAGTCTCCAGGTAGAGATCGTGGTAGTCTCTCATGGTTTTCATCTTGAAGTGATCCCATACTTTCTGAGCTCACTGGTAATCTTCCTCCTTCACCTCTGACTCATACAGTGGCGAGTAGAACTTATCCTTGCTCGGAAGACCTTCTGTATTGAGTTTGCTAATATCATCTAGGAGCTCATATGGGAACACACCTTTTTGTGTTACTAGATTAAAGTCCTCACCCTTCCACTTCTTACCTACTATCCTGAAGTCCTCAGGTGAAAGGTTACTCACCAGTGCTTCCAGTGAAGAAGCCATGAACTGTATAGAGTCTATGAAGACCAGATTCTTACCCAGTGAGAATGAGATGTATTTTTCCATATTATTTGGGATCACATTAACATCCATCTTGAACTTACCAATTTCCTGCATAATCAGATGACTATCATAACCTCTCAGGTTGTGGAAGACCACAGGTACTTTCCATGTAATTCTGTACTTAAGGTTGCATATATTGTGAGCAGCTCCGCGGTACTTACCTGCTACATGGTCATGGTCTCTCACACGGTCCTCACATAGATCGTAACCACATATATAAATGTGGCAGTTTCTTGTAACCAGGAATTCTGCTTCCTCTTTTAGTGTAATTACCATTTTCTTCCTGAATATTTTGTCAGTCATTTCCCTACATCTGAAGGACTCTTTTACTACCGTCTTTAGGAAGACCAATGCAGCGTCACTTCCAACGCAACTCTTATACTCACCGGAGTACTTATCATCATAGTGGCAGACTGTTTTCAAACCAAAACTACAAGCCTTGTGTGTCTGGTAAAGGTCTGTACTACTTTCTTCCTCAGGGTTCTCTGACTTCTCTTTTCTCTCCTCGGTACTAGTATGGACTCAAAATCAGCGTATATCACAAACGGCACAGGCATTGAGTTCCTATGATTTTTGAACTTGATTTTTGTCCCTTCCTTGGGAAGCTTTTGCGGCCTGAGTTCCATTTACCTCCAGACATGTTTCCTTATGCTTCTCCAGTACCTCCTCGCTAACGCAACTGTGAACACAGTGTAGACAGAAGTGCTGCTTATGTGCATGTTTACTTACACTGAAGAGCATCCTGTTTACATCCTTTATGAGCACATAATGGTTGTTACCTTCACCATCACCTAGGAGTAGAAGTTCCATATGATCCTCGTATTTAGCATTGGAGTTCCTTATAGGGTAGAACTGTTTCTTACCCTTATAACCAAACACAGATATGCTGATACTGTTTTTCCTCTCAATTCTATCAATGTCACTTATCTTCACACGGAAGTCTATACCGTCATAGTCCAGGTTCGTTATGAATTCCCTATCTTTCTGTGTGATAGTGGTTGCTCTTCTAGCCTTAGGATTCAGATGTCTCACATGACTCCACAGGAAACACAGGTTGTCATTGTTCTTCATATTGATGAGCCCACACATTGAATTACTAATGTCCTTGGAAGTTTCATATATGAACTACCCTTTAACGGTTTATACATTGCGATGTTTACGTAATGACTCTCAATATTGAGTATAATCCAATTTGAACCTAAGTTTTGGAAGGTTTCAATTCTAGATAATATTGTCAGTTGGTTTTGAGCAGCTGTACTTTCAATATCCTCGAAGTTAGTCGCAGTACCAGTTTTAGATTTGAAGTATATCGAGTCCTTTTTGGTTTTTCCGTCACCAATTTCCTTTGACATTCTCACCTTCAGAGTCTCTGTGTACTTTAACCCACCCATTCTCTTCAACTCATTCACAAGTATTCCTCTCACTACCTGTCTACTTGCAGTCATCTGGTCCAGAGGGTCCATATAATGAGGAGTTATTGAGTAAGTCACAGCGGCTCCGTTTGCGGCTGTTTCAATTTTCCTGTGAAATGGCTTTTCAAGGTCTGTTCCAAATGGATCGATTTCTTGTTCCTCTGGTGTAACCACTATAGGCTGCTCCTTAACTTCCCTCGACACTCTTACAGGCTTACGGACTTTGGGAGGAGACACTGGTTTCCTAGTTCTGGGTTTCGGTACAGTTCTTTCCTTAAGAAGCTTAGTTCTAGGCTTGGGTACAGGTCTTTCCCTAGGAAGTACCGTTCTAGGCTTAGGTATCGGTCTCCATGGAGCTACGCCCTTAGGTACCTCAGGAGCTTTCCTCACGGGTCTCTTATTAAGATCCACGTGAATTGTAAACTTACCTGGACCTGTTGGAGTTATGACACTATCTGCTGGCACTGAGAGTTTTACCTTCCTCTGGCTCAGGAATCTTTCTGATACAGTTTGCTTCCTAACCTTAACATCAGTCTTTACCTTTGGTGGTCTACCTCTCTTCTTTGGCACCTTCGCTTCAGTATCAGTCTTTGCCTTTGGTGGTCTGCCCCTCTTCTTTGGCACTTTCACTTCGGCATCAACCTTTGCCTTTGGTGGACTACCTCTGGGACGCTTTTCCTTAGGATTCCTTTCGTTTTCGATTCTCTTAATTTCCTCATTAACAAGAACATCGTCTGTACGCCATCTACCTCCCATTGTCGGTGGCAGTCCTTGAACTCCCTTAGACAGTAAACTCTGGTATGCCTCCTCTACAAGTAGCGCCTTAGCCTTTTGTCTGTCAGAGTACTTCCATGTTGGCATAATTCCTCTTCTACCCTTATAGTTTTTAGGAATACGTCTTGGTTTCTTTGTTTCCATATCACGGTCAACTTCATCTACGAATTGTCTTTCTCCTTGGAATGGACTTTCACCCTTATCATCAGGGGTGATCCTGTAGTTTCTATCCTCCAAGATGCCTTCTACTCTTGTATCCATATCCTCATCACTGTCTATGATACTGTTGAGAGCCAAAAGTTGTTCTACACTGAATTCGTTCATGTTAAAGTTACCCGCCATATTTTTCAACTATTCCTATATACTATATGTGTAAAAAAAAATTGGAGTATTTAATTGGTAATAAATTATTAATTAAATACCCCAATTATTTTCCCATTAAATTAATTATTTATTTTTATTATATTAAAATTAATCATTTATTTTTATTATATTAAAATTAATCATTTATTTTTATTATATTAAAATTAATCATTTATTGTTATTATATTAAAATTAATCATTTATTATATTAAAATTAATTATTTATTTTTATTATATTAAAATTAATCATTTATTTTTATTATATTAAATTCTTCACTTTCCATTTATTATAATATTCACATTTCTCAGGTTTCCATCCAAGCTCAACAAAAACTTTCCCATACAACCTATCCTCAAGGATGTCCACAATCCTTTGAGTCTTAATATCATCAGGAGAGTTCCTCAAAGTTATACCATTCATACTGGCTATCCTCAGTAGGTAAAACTTGTATCTGACTATGTTGCGCCCCGTTTGCAGTCTAAGTCTTTGTATACATCTTACGATGCTTCTAAACTGCTGCCTTATGATGTCCCTATCCCTAGAAGCAACATGTTCGAATAAGTGTCTCTCAAACCAACGGACTCTATTGTGACAAGACTTCTTCTTCAGATAGTCGTCCTTGTTGTAGTTGTAACTAACGTAGTATGAGAAGTTATTCATATCACTGGCACCACACTGTGTGCATGTATCTGCTCCATCTATCATTACAATAGACTTACTTCCACATTCGCTACATATTGGATCATATGTGTGTTTTCTCTTTATTCTACTCTCTGCGTGCTTCCTCACAGCAGCCTCTAACTCTTCCACTGTATTTACCCTTTTACCTACATGTGCTATCTCCTCAGGTGTTGCCATCTGTAACCATTCCATTTCCCTATACTTATAGGTGTGAAAATTTTTATGGCATTTTCTATAGAATTAAATAAGCTAACCCACCCACTGCTCCAACTGCAACTAAACCAAAGATTGCCATATATTCTTCCATTTCAGAGCTAGGTTTGTAGTGATTACTTAATTGTGGCTTCCTTGGCATAACCTTACGTGTTAACTCATTGATTCTTCTGACGAGTTCTAGTGACTGGTTCGTTGACTTGATATCCCTATTTGCCTCAGCTAGTTCTGACTTTAGCTGAGCAATCCTATTTCTCCTATCAGTGACCTCTTCGAGGTACTTTTCTCTTTCAGCTGTAAGATTCTCCATTGCAAGGTTATGTCTTTTAGCCTCCTCAGCGTATCCGTTCCTATCAAACATTTTAAATAGGTATCCTGCTCCCGCAAATGCAAATGCATTAAAGAGTCCTCCTGCTACTGCCCCCGCCATTGTATAGTTTTACCTAGGTTTTGAATGGATCATCTGGTAGATACTTCTTTTCTTTCAGGTAAGAGACCAGTAGAGATGAAAGACTAACTGATACGGCTAACTTTACCATTCCTTTTACATTCTCTGGGGTGCCTAAGGGTTCTTTCAATAGTTTCTTTGATGCCATTGATATACCAACTGCTCCTGCTGTAAGTAACACTGCGTCGTACACTTCCCTAGTCATCTTTGATTCTTTACTCATCTTGCTATAATATATGGTATGTTTAGTGTATCATTCAAGTGAATCTAACTTGGACTCATCAGCTCTCTTAGTTACTTCTACAGTTTTAGGGATGTACTCAGGTTCTGGTTCCCTAGTTTCCCTCTGATGGGTCTTATACGCTAGTACAAGAGATATCAATGCAATGGCCACTCCTATGTAGGTAATCATACTGTCATTACTATGTGACTCATTAGGTTCAGCCTGTTCTTTTTTCTCTCCTTTGCTATTTTACTGATTGCAGCAAGTCGTTTCCCTGCCTCTACTCTTCTAGGGTCCTTCTTCTTTTCGCTTGTTACTGGTACTTGAATTTGCTCAGGTTTGTCTGCCATTTTACTTGTAAGATACCTTAGGTTTAACTGGGTTTCATCTTATGAGATATCTTGAATTCTACTTGTGAGATAACTTGAATTTACTTGCAAGATAACTCAAATCTACTGGTAAGATAACTTAAATCTACTGGTGAGATAACTGGTGAGATAACTTGAATTTACTTGCAAGATGTCTCAAATCTACTTGGCAGTATGATGGAACTGCTTAAAAAATACCCGACAGTAGTTGCCG